TTTTTTTTTTTTTTTTTTTTTTTTGCAATCCTTTAGCATTGCAAGGCTGGCGGTAATGTTGAAGCCAAAAGCCTTCAATGTTTGGGAACCACTGGCAGTTTTCCTGCACAGTCGTCAGCTACAAAGCTGCACTGCTGCCGGAAAACTACCGGTGGCTTTCTTTCGAACTTGGCTAGTATTTAAGCCCGGTTCCGTTTAAACTGCGGTCTTATTCGTGTCAGACAGCAGGCAGCGGACCGGAGTCATCGTTAAAAGAGGTAAACATTCGCTTATATCAATACGCTTACCTACAAGCAAATAGATACTTTATCATATACTTAGATTTTAATCTTGAATCTGAGAACAAATATACATACATCTTTCTTATTATTGCTAATACAATTGTTTTTCTCACTTTCTCTTGTGGTTTCTCAACCTTGTTGCGAGTTCGCACCAGCAATCATCTAATTTACGTCCCAAACAGGCTTCGAATGGCTTTCAAAGAAACGTGCCCAATTTCGTAACTTTTCTGCTTTAAGTTGATTATCGATATATTAATCGAAATTATGATCTAGGAATTTATCGATCCCTCTTCTATTAGATGTATTAATATTGTATTAACTGATATGATCGATACGACTTATTTATCGAGATCGTTATCTGTCTACTTATAAATTTAGTTATCGATATATTTATCGATATTTTTTATTAAAATTATTCTAAAACATATTAATATCCTTCGAAATCTATCGAAGGCGCCTAATATATTGAAAAAGTTTTACAAAATGCATTAGGAGAAATTTGTGAATTTCGCGCTGAGTATCCTTGTATATAGTGATTTTACCTTTTCACACATAAAGCTGACATTTCATATTTCCCAACAAACGCCACTGAGCTCTTACTGTTGGGAGCTGAATGGAAATTGTCCCCATATATATGTGTGTTTGTATGCATAAGGCAAACAAATCTCTCTTGGAAAATCAAATCGTTTCTCAATAAGAATCTTCCAAGCAGCATAAACCACCTCATTACTGTGAGTATAAATTCAGTTTTCTTGATTACTTTTGGTGTAGTATCTCTTACAGCGTATGCATAAGAATGTAAGTACTTGGAGATATTCTTGATACCTAAATATACATACGTAAAGGAATTAAACGTATCGTCGCCTGGGTAAAATATTGTCGTATGTTACGTACGTATGACGCTTACGACAATATTTTACCCAGTCGACGGATGTACGGGTACATTAGACCGCACCACCTTACAAGCTACCAAAAAAAAGTTCGCTGCACATCCCTGAGTCTAAAGGATCTACAGTTTTACGTCGCCTACGAACGAAAAATGGATTTTACGAGAGAATTTTTCAAGGCAGACAAGCACTTGGAGGTCGGTTATTGCGGCCGAGGGGCGACCGCTATTAGAAAAAACTTTACCTATTTTTTGATGTTGCTCGGCCCATGAATCGAAGCTTATCAGTTCTACTTGTGCATGTTACCGTTGTGCGACTAAAGTGTCAAACTGACACTGCCCCCTGACACCGACTTTTTAGAAATAGGCTTATTTTGAAAAGTTTCTTAAAAATTATGCGACTTTTGCCCTTTTTCTTTTATTAAAAATTTTATATACACATTTTGACAATTTTTTCATAAAATATTACTTTTAAAAGGCGCTTAAAAATTACATCTCAGGTAAGATTTTGACCTTTTTAATATGCCAAAATTTTGTAGTTTCCCCAAGATAGTACAAACAAATATTCGGTGATAATTTGTATACAAGCTTAAAAGGCGGAACCTTGTAATAATTGTTATCTACTAATATTGCTTTTGTGTTATATTGATATATTCCTCATCAATTGGTTTTTATTTTAAGAGAAAATTTTTTTTTTGACAGAAAATGATCTCCATTAGCAATTTATTAAAAATAATGGGTCATACTCGTAGATGACACAAAGTCGAATCTAATGTTAGGTGCAGCTTTTTTGACAGATTTTCCATTGAAAATTATGTCAAAAAGCTATAACTAGCCTGAAAGTCGATTTTATTTCGACTATGAATATGCCCCAAAAAGTTGCAAGAGGTAAAATTATGAAAGTTTTATATAAATACGTGGTATGAAAGCTTTGAATTATTTCAAGAATATCGCTTACGCTGTTTTTGCGGTTAGGGATTGATATTCTTGTGTTACGTATGTATGTATTTAGTAGCATCTTCCTCTTACACCTTTGATTGTATCTGCTCGAGAAAGGCCACAGGCGGTGTATGCAGCAGACTAGCCTATGCATATATTTATTTACCCTCCTGCCTTGCTTGCCTAATCTTCCTCATATGCATGTTTGCCTCTAAAATAAATAAAATTTTCTTCTCCCCCTGTCTTTCACTAGTAAACACATAGTTTGCAAACTTTCCAAAAATAGATGGAAAATATTGATTTGCCTTCAAGGTAAAAATTATTTACATGCGAGTAAACTTGAAGCCATAGAGACTGAGCTTGTGAACTTGTTAAGCGAAAACAATGAAAAACATACAAGTTTACAACGCCTGCAAGGCTAACAGTCTACAACAATCAAATATGGATACATACATATGTAGGCTTGTATGTATTAGAGGTATACGCCGCCGAGCCACGCCGCCGCCGCCGCCGTTTTTTGTCATTACTCACGCGCCGCCGCCGAGTTACGAAAATATCGGCGCGGCGGCGGCGACGGCGGCGTTCGGCGCCTAAGGAATTTTGTACAAAGTTTTCATGAAACGCATCGCTTGAAGGAACTACTACTACAGAATATATAACAATTTTTTTCAATACCACAACAATATTCCTTTTTTTTACAGATTACTACAACAACAAGAAAGTTGTCACACACCAAAAGACTTTAACGATAATATCTCAGAAAGCAGTTTTAACAGAAGTGCCCTTATTGCATCTAACTCCTCGATTATTGGAGATAAAACAAAAACAAATTGATCTTTTTGTGTATTTTTTCTTTAATAAAGAGTTGAATATTTTTTAAACAGATTTTAAATAAGTAAGTTATTTTATTCCGGGGTCCCACAGACGTATACAAGTTCTATGTGGCTGTGTGAAAACTAAGTTAGCATTCACAAGTGGTGGGCAAACCCCAGAAAGGTTTTGCTCCATCGCATCGCAATGTTTTCTACACAGGGTTAAAGAGCCCCCTTCTTGATGGAAATTAGTAGTATTTTTCATTACTTTTGTTTACCCTCGGAAAATTTGGCACTTAAAATTTTAGTGGAAATTTTAACCAGGCCTGTTTTGCTGGGAGTTGATGGATAAAACCCCCGGAAAATAGTAGACCACCCTAGTTTTCAATCTATAACCCGCAAAAAATCGTAAGAACCCCTTAATTTAACATAACGGTAGATAACGTTATTTCAGAAATTTATTAATAGCGAAATAAATTACTCCAATAACTTAGCTTTAAATTTTTTTTATTTCTTTAAATTTAAATAGTACATACGGATCTATAGAGAACATAGAGAACCATGTATGTATGTAGTATATTTCTTTATTTATTTTTTAATTTCAGTCTACAGAACTAGTTTCTTACAGACTAGTGAAGACTCTAGGTGAATATTGTAAACAAATTATTCTTAAATCTATCAATACTTAAGTTAAAATCGATAACACTAGAATATGTATTGCACAATTCAATGATCTAGCAATTGGTTCATTTTTGGCATAATTCGTGGTATGCAGAGCATCAACCAATTGCTTTTTGTTTCTTAAATTACGCGGGGGATTATATAATATGAGCAAATCTGTTAAATAAGCGCAATTTGTGTGCCCATTGATTATTTTAATAAATGTAATGAAGAAGTAATCTCTTCTTTCCTTCAAAGACTGGAGACCCAGCAATTTCTGTCTGCCAATATAGGGAGGAACATAACCTTGCCAGGGCAACTTGCAAATAGCGAATTTGGTGAAAATCTTGTGAACTCTTTCTATTTTGATCGAGTCCACTTCATAATATGGACTCCATATTATAGAACAGTATTCCAGACGGCTTCTTACTAAAGGATTTTAAAGTTACTGGATCTCTGAACTCTTGAGTATTTCGCCTAATAAAGCCTATCATTGAGAACGATTTAGATACAATATAGTCAACGTGTTTTGTAAACGCGAGTTTGGAGTCAAAAATATTGCCCAAATCTTTTATTTCAGTGCTCCGCTTTATAACGCAACCATCTAATTTATAGTCAAAAGGTATATCACTACTAGACTGCCTCGAGAACGTAACTACGCAACATCTACCTATATTTAGGTTCAAACAGTTTAATGTACACCACTGCTGAAATTCATCTAGATCGAGCTAAAGACGATTACAATCTGAGAGATCACGCACAACTGAAAAAAGTTTAACATCATCTGCAAACATCAGGCAGTTTGCAAAATTAAAATAGTTAGGCAAGTCGTTTATAAATAGAATAAACAACAGTGGTCCACAATGCGTGACCTGTGGTATGCCCGACCATGCATTAACTGTCACTTGAGATGTTGTTGC